CTCAGTTGGTCCGTCTTGCTTTTCTCTATGCTGATTGTAATGTAACCCTCGTTAAACTGAACATCTCTGCTACGCATAACGCATAACTCGGAACTTCTAAGAAAACCGGAAAATGCGAGAATGAACATAACTAAATTTCGTAATTGCAAAAGGTCTTCTAGATTAGTCTCTGCAGCAAGGACCTTGAGGTGGTGGGCGTCCAGGGGCTCCTTTCTATTGACTATTGGCTGACTGGCAAGGCGAACAGCTCCTTCCTTTACGGCAATAATAGTAGGATGTAATGTTGGAGAGTCGACGCCTGCAAGAAGATGTACCCACTTGAACGCGTAAAAGGCGCAGTTGATGGAAGCGACGGACTTGGACGACTCGAGGAGGTGTTGCAAGTAGAGGGTACAATCGATTGGACTGACTGGAAACTCCGAGGTACCCAAGACATCACTAGCAAAGGGTCTCCACTTGTTAAACGCCCTCAAGTAATTTGCGAATGTCCCAGATGCTCTGGAAGCAAGCACGGTAGATTTGAGATTCTCCATTAGCTGATCCACTCTCGGGAAATTTTGGGCCTCTGAAGACCAGAAAACGGAATTGAAGATATCTAAGGATAAAAAAAAAAAAGAAAATAGGGACAAATATCAATGAGACAGGCAGCAATGCACACAATGCTGAATTACATTTAACTCACTGTCTTCACTCAGGAAGACCACTTTGGCGATAAGGCAATACACTTCTGCGTAAAACGATACAAGAGAAAAAAACCATGCTATTCTAGTGGACGTAACCCTCTAGGGCGTTTGCACAATGCCAACAGAAAATACCCTTCTAGGGTACAAAATGAAAATACATATGACAAATCGCCCCTCTAGGGCCTCTCCTGGATGCCTCTCTAAGGCCTAACACGTTTAACTTAGAAAATGATTATCAACAAATAATAAGTACTTCGCGCAAATATAATACGCCTTATCGGTACATAGTGGAGACAGCAGCGAACTCTAGCCCGAATGGAATCAAACACAAGGAACTAGAAAACTTTTACGAGATAACTCGGAATCTAATCAGGGAATGATGCTAAAGAGAAGACGTAGAGCTAACGAAACGAAAGCCAATGGCTTGCTACCAAAAAAAGAGTTCTTAGCTTTTCCTCTAATGAACAAATTAGGAAAGTTAGGCAGGATAACCCAGTCATGGATAAATGTACTCCAATGGAAACCATCCGAACACAGGATGGGCCAAAAGTGGGCTGACTTCCAAAGGGGAACGATCAGAGTTCCTTGAGCACAGCACAGCTCCATATGCTTAATAACTTTACACGTTAAATACACAGGGGGACACAGCCAGTTATTATGATGAGACCAATCCTGAGAAAACGCATTAACGCCACTCGAACCAGGCTCGTAAAACCTTGAATTAAAGCATTGGACTTTGGCATTGTAGGAACAAGCGAACCTATCGCAGGTATGTGGACCCCATAAGTCGTCAAGAACACTGAAGACCGTATCGTTGATCGTGTAGTCGTCATAATCAATGAAATTGCTTATATCGTCCGCCGCACTATTTAGGTCTCTTGGGATCCATTGCATATCGATGTTAATAGCACTAAGCAAACAACTACGATGGATATCCATTGCAAGCTCTTGTAATGCTGGAGTCTTAGACCCTGAATTAACGATCCGGGCAACGTTCTGATTATCCGTAAACCACGTGACTGTTTGGGCTCTCAATGACTCCACGAAGGCTTTCACTGATAAAGACACGGCTAACAACTCAATGAATGTAGAACTTTGAGCTTTCTCAAAATCTGCCCGGTTTTGATGGAACATCTTCACCTCGAGCTCGATGAAACTGCCGCAAGCTGACCAGAAACATCGGAATAGACGATCTTCGAAGGCTTGTGCCTGACAGGCCAAATAGGTATGCCGTTAAGACTTGCCGCATTAGACTTCCAGAAAACCAGCTCAGCCAGAGCTTCAGACGAAAGACGAACGTAAGAGTTCCAGGTTTGCGCGGTATTGATGACTGCGAATAAATTTCTAGACATAAGCCTAGAGACATTACCAACGCAGGGGCCAAGAGATATTATTTTTTCGCAAACAGAGGCAAGCTTCCGAACTGGATGACAAGACGAGGGAATGGCCAAAAAAGTCGCTAAATCTTCTTGTAAACTGGTAATTCGCTTAGCAGTGGCAGAAAATTTCAGAAGTGGAAGTATTGAGAACGGCTCCGAGCCAAGTAATAACCTGAGTGGGCTCCCAAACGCATTTGGTTTCAATAGACAAACCCTCACACCTGAATCGGCGTTTGTAAAGGAACTGATTAACGTGGCGAAGGTCTAAAATTAGACGCTTTTCGCCTGATTTTTGAACAGATACGGACAAAGGATTGATGATAACAGGAGCTTCAAACACTTCAGTGACGCAACCGTTGATAAAGAGATCGTTAATGGCACTTTCGACAAAAGGTGCCTGCTCCAAAGCCGAACTGTTATTTTTAGCTGTGAAGGGCGGAGGAATTTGGAGAAGCGTAATTTATAGCCATAATCAATAACATCCAGGATAAATTGAGGGGCGTGAATGTCGTTCCAGAATGCGAGGGCTCCACGTAGCCGTCCTTTAACGGACGAGTAATCATCGCCGGATTTAACCTCGAAAGAATTTCCATTGACACGAAGAAAAAATTAATTCATCGCTATCCTCATGAACAAGGCCTTGTTCCAAATCGACGTCCGAAGTGAGTCATTTAGGATTCTGACCGGTATTAGAAGGAACATCAAACCGCAAATTAGGGCAGAAAGCCCTCCAATGCCCGGGTTTGCCACAAGCAAAGCACAAACCAGAAGACGATCTCTGGGACGAAAGCTGCGGGTTTACACGCGAAAACAAATTGGGTAGCTGTGAGGCGGAAAACTGCGGAGTTGTTGAAGTCGATGTAACATTACTTCTTTGCCGGGTCGAGCGAGATGTGAAACGCCTCGTGGACCTAGCTGCTCTGGATTCGGCCCTGTATATCTTTTTCTCATCTTCTTCGTCGTCCGCGAGATCATGGCGCTTGTATTCGAGGACCGTCTTCCACCCGTACTGTGATTTATCAGCCAGTAAAATTAATTTTTGACGCTCTTGAAGCAGCTCCATACCTTTATCCAAGGCTTGTTTGATCTTCTCGACGTCGTTCCTTTCGAGGGCAATCTGGGCGTCTTCAACAGCATCTTTAATAGCTTTGTTAGCTTTGTACTGCTCCTCGTTGCTCTTTTTGTTGAAGTGAGGAACGGAATCGCGTTTCAACCTTTTAATCTCTGACATCTGACGCCTGCTTCGTCCATAACTAGGCAAGGAAAAGTGATGAAGACAAGAAATAAACCTTATGGGAAAGTGCTAGTGGCAAGGCTGACCGTAGAATGCCACAAGTTTCTCAACGATCTCTTCTTACAAACATACTACCCATGAGCCTTCGCGTACTACGCTCGCACCCAGTTCTCTGTTCCGTGTCGGCAAAATATTAATTTATGTCAATACCGATGATCACAAATTACATATTATCGCAGTCGATGTCCTTACAGTCAATGAAACGAAGGTTACCTGATGAGCGGGAGACTGCGCGCCAAAACTCACCGCCTCCGTTGCAAAGCCACCAGCTGAGCGTTAGTACTAATGACAGCAAGCGTATATCTGGTTAGTAATTGTATTTCACTTGTTTTATTTCTAGTCATTGAGTTCAGCTTAAATACTGCAATTTTTCCATTATTTTTAAGAGTGGTCTGTTGACGAAGTGAAAACATGGGCGATGGATATGTTCGGAAGTGAAGTGATTGCGAAGAACTTTGAAGACTAAGAAATCGATGGTCGCATTTTGTTGTCATCAACGGTTCGAACAAATGAAGCAATGGAGACATTGGGTTTGAAGACTATCGGAAAGAGAGGGAAGTTTTTAGAAAAAACGAAGGAACTTGCAGGTATGATAATTCCTAGCTATCTATTGAGAATTTTCAGTCTGTCAATCGTTGCTTTAATTATAGGCTGCGTTGGATGTTGTTTCTGCCTTACATGGCATGGCTTAGAACCTAGTTTATAATAATATTACAAACTAGGTTCTGAGCCATGCACATGACAAATCATTCCCGCTTAAGTTTTCGTGCATGCTAAAGTCGATCAAACTTATTAAACAACGCAAAGTAAGAGAATGAACTTGTAAAGTAAAGTGAAGTGTTAAAATGTCCAGCCTTTTTGGGCATAGGCTTCATCCTGTTCTCCCATGAGAAAAAATCCCATAATCATGCCTCTGCCTGTTAAAACAAATAAGGGGGTTGGAAGGAAGTCGTAAGTGATTTCTGAAAAACTGCCATATTTTCCTTCCATTCCCCTTCAAAACAACACAAAGTAAGAGAATGAACTTGTTAAGTAAAGTGCAGTGTTAAAATGTCCAGCCTTTTTGGGCATAGGCTTCATCCTGTTCTCCCATAAGAAAAAAAATCCCATAATCATGCCTCTGCCTGTTAAAACAAATGAGGGGGGGAGGGGATTGGAAGGAAGTTGTAAGTGATTTCTGAAAAACTGCCATATTTTCCTTCCATTCCCCTTCAATGTGCATGTTTACACATCAAAAGGAGAAGTTGATATTGGATAAGGAGTCATTTTGGACCTTACATGTACTTCTCTCACCCCAAATTCTCCTACTCATTCTATATATGGGAAAATGTTTAAAAAAATGCCACTTGAAGGAATGATCTGAGCTGATAACTGAAGGGAAAGGGTGAGAGATTTCTGTTCTGTAAGACTTATAAAATATATTCATACAATTAAATTTCTCTACTTTTTTGTTTAGTTGTGTTTCTTTCTGACAGAAAAAAAGATGGTTCTTGCAAAAATTAAGCAAAAATTCCATCATTCAGAGCCCACCATGTTGACGAAAATGTGAAGCTAAACGGATTTGTTAAATGCTTAACTGAAGGAAAAGCATCAGCAAAACACACCTTCCCAGAGTGTGGATTTGGAGCCAATGCCATAAGAGAAATGGTTATGGGGCACATGAGGGAAAGAAGATGGAAGATGAAGGATACAGAAGTTATAAAGGGCCACCCAACACCATCAGATACAAGTACAGACTGCAGTGGTGACACTGAGAGTGTAGAGTCAAGTAGCTCTGGGGATTCTTCACCTCCATCAACAAAAAAAGTTCAAATGTATGCAGACTACTTTCATCCAGGTCAGTTTACAGTGTAATTTCCATACATTCAGATACCAAGTTTCCATATAACCTGAGCAGGCAGAAAATGATATTCAATGTCACCCTGACCCACTGGAAGCTTCAATTACTTGTACTGAGGATGGATGAAGTTTCATCTGAAACATCTTTGCATTAAAAATGGTGTGACCTTCTAATTAAAAAATAGCATCAGGTACTCATTGTAACAAATCAAAACTTTGTTGTATTGATTTATTTTAACTTTTCATTGTAGATATGACTCAAGGAAGTTGTGATGTTGTAGTCCTGACATTTCTTCAGAAAAACAGCATCCAGGACATCCAGCTAGTTAAATACTTGACACCATCGAAGAAATTATTCAAGCTAACCTAACCCTGATAAGAGGTCAGGACAAAAACACATTCATTCGAGCTATAGCAAATTCCCTCTATATTCACAAGTACATTTCATTTAAAGAGGGATCAGATCTTGTTAACCTCAAGAAGGAGGACATAAATATTTTAAACCATTTATCACTATAAGAACTGTACATGTAAGGTACTTAATCGAAGTTTAGAGTTTACCAAAGAAAATTTGCAGTACTTTTAGAAGAAGGTGTTTGAGATTTCAGCTTTCACTGTTTTTTTGATAGTGACATTCAGGGTTATAGGTTTGTGCATTGTAGTTATAACACACTCAAGTCGTGATGTTGTATAAGAAATCCTTGCATTGCTGGAACAAAAAAAGTAGATATTAAAACATTTATTATTTATTATGAGATTTCAGATTTCAATGTTTTTTTGACAGTTGACGTTCAGTATCATAGGTTCTTGCATTGTATAGTAGTTAACACAGTCAAGCTGTGATGTTGTATAAAAAATCCTGACAGTGCTGAAGCAAAAAAGCATCCAGGACATAACAGCTGGCAAAGCACTTGAAACCATTAAAGAACAATTATTGTTATTCTGATGTCAGGATAGAAACACACATCAGAGCTGACTGCAGGCAAATTCCCTCAACAGTTATAAGTACATGTCATTTGTTAAACCAAGTCAATTTAGAGGGATCTGGCCTTTCAAACTTTATGATATAGTACACTTAGGTTTTAAAATTATATACCATAAAAAAACCATAAGCGGAAGTTTAGAATTTGTGTCGAAGATGACCAGATGTGTTAAAGACTTGTAGTACTTTCAAAAGTTTTGTGAACTTAACCATTTTATTGGCACTTGACATTGAGGTTTATGTAGGTTTGAACATTGATCATATGTACCTATAGTGTTTAAATCTAAGCTGGTGATCAATCCAAAGGATAATGATTCCAACTCTTGATGCAACTGGGGCGTAAGTGTTTATTTAGCATATTTAGGTTGTAAGAAAAGTTAAACTGACTCACTGATCCTTATTAAAAAGGGTTTTTTTTTTTTATCTGGTAACTGGTTGTCTGTTTTTATGAATGCTGGTATACACAAAAATTGATATGATCCTGACCCAGTTTTCTAATTACAATTTCCATCCTTGGACAAGTGGCATTCCATTTTGGACACTAGTAAACCAAGGATGGTTTTGGGTTTCAATGAGAACATTTTCCACTGTTGGAAAACTCAATTCCATCTGGATTTTCCTTAAGTAGGGTAATCAAATATTTTTCTTCATGTCAGTGAAAACACTTTTCCACCTCTGAAAAACTGCATTACTATGTATGGAACAGGATTAAACCACACTTGGAAAAAAAAGGTTTTTTTTCCAAAAATGGATATTTTAAATAAACCGCACAAAAACCATAAAAAACAATTTAAATCACTGTGTACAAAAATTGGTTAGTTTTTCTGGTGACTATTCAAGGCAGAAAGACTACAAATTCACTTCACAGCAATCGTGAAAGTGCAGCTTTCCCAATTTTTTGTGTACTCGTTTATTTGTGGGTCTAAATTTCCTACCAAACGACGGTTTATGTGACAATCTGATACATCACTGTGCGCACGCAGAACTAGTTTGATTATTTCATTCTGGAGCGCTTCCTGCTACATTCTTCGCATCTACTTTAGTGGTAGCGAAATTTCAACCAATATACAATCAAATATATGATACAAAAAAGGAATCAATTTTGAACACAGAAACGCTTCTTGACAGTGTAACAATTAACAACAACATGCGAAGCCGAAGTTCGTTCACGGTAACAATGTCCGAACTTCCCTTGTTTGTTTATATCAAACGTCACGTGACTGATGACTATATACAGGTGTGACCAATCCCAGCATTCATTTGGACGCAGTATTTGCCAAAGGTACTGGTGGTACTTCGGTACGGAACACTGTGTTTTTTTGGCTCAGAAGTCGCCGTTTAGCTTAAAGTTCACCCCTCTTTCGACCCAGACGTGAACATGTTGGGAGTTAGCAACTTGTGTTTGTGTGTTCTCTCGGCCTCACTCACCATTAATGACGGACTTGTCGGTGAGATATCTTTTGAAGAATTACATTTTATTAGAGTGTGCATGAACATGACTTCAAGGTGTCAAGACGGCGAAGCTTGGCAAAACATCGCTTTCAAAATTAACTTTCGTTTCTCCTAAGTAATTTATGAGTGACTCGATGTGTTCATTGTCGCTAACGGTGCCAGATTTCCCCTCTAGCATCGCATGGGAATGCGGCCTACAGTTCGGAGTCAACTACCGTGAATAATTAGTCATTGGGGTTTCTTTTTTCGCATAGTTAATGTGGAGCGATTTCACGGCCAAGAAACGTACAACGACTTTGCCATCGCCGTCGTAGTATTCTTGTGTCATGTGTAACTGTAGGTAGCGTCTACCGATGTATCGTTCGACGCATTGGTCATTCGAAGGTCGATATTTCGGTCGATAGTCGGTCAACAGACATATCGACTATTGATCGAGACTCGGTCGATAAACGGAGCGACAGGAAGCCTGTAGAACAGGTCTAATTTGTTGCGTTTTTACAGGCGAAGAAAGACAAGGGTGAGGCTTGCGCGAACGGCATCTGTTACCTTTATTTTATCAAGTTATCTTCTTCAACTCCATGGAAAGCTTTACGGTAATTCGTAATTCTGAAGTTGCTCGGTTTCAATCATCTAAATGCAAGTCAGTTCTAACGAAGGTTGTTTCGATCGAAAAAAGTCGATTCGATCGAAGACAAGAGTCAGTTCAATCGAAGACTGTAACTATTGCTTAAGTGTATTGAACTTACTCTTCAACAAATCTGTTTAAAAATATTTCCTGATACAGTTAACTTCGGAGTTGTGCAGAACACATTCTTGAAACTGGTCTTCAAGGAACATGACCGCCAGCCGTCTGTTTCCATATTTGGTATATCGCTAAACGCCAAGGCGTAGGCTAGACTCCAGTCTCCTTCTATGCATTCCGATAATATCGCGTTTTGTTTTCAACTAATTCTTTATGATTTTTTGCGGTCAAAACCAGCCGAATATTATCTTATTTAACAAGATTGAACTCTTGGAAGGTAACCCTTGCGAAATGGATTTGGAATTCCTAGGAATTCCCAACCATAAAAACTCTGGTTCTAAAAACCTAGAAATTCCCAGAAATTCCAGGTTTATAGCCAACAGGACTTGGACTTTTATATTGGAGTTAGTACATCTCTCTCATGGATTTTACTAAAAAAGGGCTGAATACATTATTTTGTTTTTACCAAGGAGGGCTTCTTTATGTACTAAGGTTTGTTTAATAACAGTTCCTATTATGAATCTTGAATGTTCCCAAACGTGACTAGAGGAATCTTACAAGAGTTTGTATGGAAATACTTACGACCGTTCTTAGGAATAAAAAATACAGTCAAATTCTGAATACGAAATACCTCACCTCACTTCCACAGTGCGTCGCTTATTATCTGACGGCTTCATGTTCACCCTGGTTTATTTCATTGTAAAGCATAAGCTTAAGAAACTGCGACATGCAAGTGACCGATTCGATTCTCAGAATTATTCTAGTTTCAGTTGCGCCGAGCGTTATGTAAGCTTAATTCAACCCGCTACATCTATTCTTTTATACGATTTTGATCACGTAATGAATATCGCAATTTTTACTCACCACAAACTTTCAAAATCGTAGCTTTACAGATGGCCACTCGACCCTTGTTTGTACCAGTCAATATCTCAACTGTTGTCCCTTCTTTTAACTCCACGGCGCCAACGACTTTCTTTTCTTTTACAACACTCACGCTATTCTCGTTTTCCCATTGAACCACAATAAAAGCTATCTTTAGAAATGTTATATTAAGCAAAACAGTTGAGAAAAGCGATCAACCGGTGAAAAGTACATTCAAAGATGAGCGCCAAATGGAGTCTTCTTTGTTTCCGATCACGGGCATGATCACGTGGATCTTTTAGGACTTGTCATTGGCTAGCAAAGTGAATCCGCTGGCTTGCCGATTGCAGTGTTAAGAGAAGCGCCCAACTTTATTCTGACTTCTCCGACCGGTTCTCTGCTTCTAGAAGATGGATAGCTTGGTGATATAAATAAAGATGTGAGCTCACTCTATGTAGAAATAATCGACAAGAATCGATCGTATTACAAATGCACGATTTGTGGCCGAAAGTTGTCGAGGAAACAAAGACTCGAAACTCACTTGAGTTGTGTTAATGGCAAAGGTGAGAAATAACACAAGCCAATCACAGTTTTGAATGCGACTACAAATCGTCTTTTACCCTCATATTTATAAAGAAGGATACCACATTCGGAAGTATAAGAGATACATAGATGATCCCAGTGTACCAGTACCTAAATCTACAAAGCTTGAGCATATCAAGCGTTCAGCAACACGTTCCAACAACGCCATCTCGATTCCTCAGTCAGTCGTTTCCACTGAACTTAAAGCAGTATTGACAACAGAGTAGAGTGCGTCTTACAAAGGAGAAACATTTGTACAAGAGACAGAAGTAGCTATATGCGATTACAGAGGTGCGTTGGAACTCTGGTCCACAAATAGTTATGCACTGCCCGAAGTATTAAACAATTTTGTTGATAGCTGACAGACAGAGAAGAACAACAAGTAAACTTAAGAGCTGTTATTATTGAAGTGTGACTAGCACTTTTCATTTTTATATAAAGAAGGACTTCTAATTTGCACCAAAAATAAAAAGATGTAATATTTTTTGGGAGATCCAGTGATTGGGACATTTAAGAAATTAAGTTATGAAAGGAAACTTGGTTGGTACTTCTCACTACTAACAAGTCTTGTTGACAAATATTTTCAGATCAGAGTTTCAAATAAAGTAAATTGAAGACGTCATATAAAAGGTGTTTTTTCTCAAAGGGAACATCGACTACCTCTGTCTTGTCTGCATGCCAAATGTTTGCAAAGTGTGTGGATCGGATGATCCACAAGTATTGGAACTCTTACAAAAATGTTTTGTAAGAA